GAATAATACTGCAGTCATGTAAAAGTTATTTCTCAAAGATTTTATCATGCTTTAATCTAATTAATTTTTTAAAAGCAGGACCAAAGCCTAAATACTCAGCATGATCTTTCTGTAGACAGTGATAAGTCGTCTCTAGAGCAGAATTATGGGTTCAGCTTTTTTTGTTTGTTTCTGAAAGCTTTTACTCTTTTCTGCAGTAAATCTGTATTATGTACCTCAGAAGAAATACCTAAAAGCACAGGCATCCTCTAGTACTCTCGGCTTAGTGGTCCTGAGTTCTGACCAGCAGGCTGTTCCAGCAGAACAACACGTGTGTGATGGGCAGGGCTGGACATGAAGCCATAGGCCCAGGGCCACAGGGCTGGGCCTAGAAGTTTTTTTGTTTTTTATGCAATATTTTCCCTAAAGATCTGGAGGAAGAAACTCAGACTTTGCTGATTAAATCTGCAAGTGATACTTTAGAACACTTCTTATTCAAGACTGCCTTCCTCTCCTGGGGGAAACGCCCTGTACACAGTGGTGAGCATCACCTCAAATGACAGTCTGCGGGTAGAGAGCACATGGATGGAGAGGCCTGTTTGAGGCTCGATACAGAAAAAAATACTGGGATATGTTAGGGCAGGACAATGCGTGGATTCCTTTTTTTAATGAGAAACCTGAATGCTATATCCGTTTGGCCTCCATACAACTAAAAGGGACAAGACAGTCTATACTGTGTATGGAAGGGCCTTTGTGCGTGTGGTGGGGGCAGGAGAGTCAAAGTCAAACATGCATTTAAATACTCTTAAAAGTTCAATGGCTTCCTAGTGGTCATGATTTGCTCACCAGAGAAATCTTATTTAAAAACTTCTGTAGTACAGCACAATTTTGTCAAATGTCTTACTGAAATAAAACATAAATTTAACTTTGCTAGTCAGATTTGGTATATTTTAGACAACATGGGCTTGGGCTTGAAGCTTTATTTTTAACTTTCAGAATGGAACACCACCTTGCTGTGAGAAGGAAAGTAATATTTTGCTGCTGATTTTTAAAGTGTAGGTCAAGTTAAGTCCCTTTTCATCTTTCCCTCATCAAAACTATTAATTCCACACTGTAGCACTGCAGCAGACTCGACTCTCAGCAATACAATCTGCTCATCACACACACACAGAAACAGTAAAATGAAAGTCTCACGGTAAGATGAGAAATAGGTCTATTTTCCTTCTTCCTGCTTGAATGTACTGAGCCACACTGAACTCACAGAGAAATACTGACGTACCACTCGGCAAAAATCTGGGAGAACTCCAGGGAGCTGTTAGCCACTGGGGAGATGAAGTAGAAGGGGATGCTGGAGAGGCCGGCCGAGTCGATGTACTGGTACAGGCACTCCAGGAGGTCGTAGATCACGCCGGAAGGGTAGCAGGGGACCAGCACGTTGCCCCCATTCCGGACTGTCAGAGCTAGAGACAGAAGCCACAGGAGGAAACAGAAGGACAGTGTTTCAAAGGAGATCACACTTCAAAACATGCATTTCTTTTCCTACTTGCATCCTCACAACTCACTCATGTGCGTAGTAAACTGGTTCCCTCGAAGAATTGTAGCCAAAGGGCATCAGGAGCCGAGGCGTTTAACCTAAGCCCCTGGGAACACAGTGTGAGCAAGGGGTTGGGCTTTCAAGGCTCCCATGGCAAGGGAGCTCAGGGCAGAACCTACAAACTCTCTTTTTAGACCGTATTAAAAAGTGTGCTGGATTTGTCTCTGGGCTTTGATGATGGCTGAATGAACTGTAAGGATAGGCTCACATTTCCATTTGGCTGTTAGTTCCAGTTTCTTTCATTAATGTCTATTAAAAAAAACACTCTCATTTCATTTATTTACTTTTTGTGACAATGGGGATTGAACCCAGGGCCTTTGCAGGGAGCTACATCCCAAGGCTTTTATGTTTTATTTTGAGATAGGGTCTCACCATGGGGTGTCAATGCCCAGGCGGGGCTCAAACAGGTGATCCTCTTGCCTCAGCCTCCTAGAGTGCTGGGGTTACAGCAACACATGACTATGCCTGGCTCAATCCTTCACACTTTAGTTGTCGAATGAAGCATTGCAACTTATGGATTGCAATCATATTAAAAGTATGACTGGCTCAAATAAACAAGGTGCATGCTCAAGTTTATTTTTTGTTTAGTTTCCAAAATGCATTGATGCAAAGGGCTTTTAGGTAGAGAACCTGAGCTCTTCCCCACTCCTGCTGCGATGTACTGTTCAATGGATGCTGTAGCTGGAGAACTGCTGAGTGGTGTTATTACAGTATAGCACGATGGGAAAAAAATCAACATCAGCAGCCATGGCTCCAGTGTCTGTCTCTAGTCCTGCCTGTGTCCAAGCTCGAGGACCACAAGGAAGCCACCACAACTTTGCTGGGGCACAGTTTCCTCTTGGGCTGTGATATGAGAGGAATGAATGAGATCAGCGATTTTCAAGCTTCAGCTTATGCAAAAATTACCCAGGGCACATAGTGAACATGAAGCTACTCTTCTGGGTCCTGTTCTCCCCGGCTGTTCTGGCTTAGGTCTGTGGGAGGCTGCAAGCCTGCATTTTAATAAGTGGCCTCACTGATCTTGAGGTGGGTGGTGGTGGCCCCACTTTCAGAGACAGGGAATTAGATGTAGGGTTTTGTCAAATCTTTGAGTCTATGGTTTAGACCATAAACAAACACACAAACCTAGACTCTATTTGAGACCGGTTCCATCATTTTCTCACAGAAAGAATAGACTACATTTGGCTTAATTTTAATGAAGAGCAAAAGCAGATTATGATCATTTCCATGGTTAAGTGAAACTCCAAAGGACAGTGCCTTCAGGTCAACAGAAGAAGATTACTTTTTCTTCCTAGAAAAGATGGTCTGAGCTCATGAATTTCTCTGGTAATGGTTAAGGACTGAGTGTTTATGTCCCCCCTCAAATTTATATATGGTACCCCATACTCCAAAATGATGGTGTTAAGAGGTAGGGACTTTGTAGGGGGGGATTGGATTTAGGTCCTGAGGCAGGGCCCCAAGATGGGATGAGTGCCCCTGTAAAAGGAGAAAGAAGAGACCACAGCTGCCTCTCCTCTGCATGTGAGGACACAGCAGGAAGGTGTCGGTCAGCTGGAAGGGGAAGAGGCTTTCACAGAACAGCCAAGTAGGACCTGGACCTCATACTTCTCAGTCTCTAGAACTTCGAGCAGGAACATCTACTGCTAAAGCCACTGGGTCTATGACATTTTATTACAGCAGCCTGAACCGATGAAGACAGTAACCAAACCACTTTTCTAAGACAAAGGCAGGATTTCTAGAGTTTATGGACAATTATATCCAAAGGAAAAGAAATTTCTTCCAAGTAAAAGGTACCCCACATGGCCCTCAAATTTAATACTGTTATTTGTGCTATTTTTTGCGGGGTGGGGGGAGGTTTCTTCTTCTTCTTTTTTTGATTTTTTGTTTGTTTGTTTGAGACAGGGTCTCACTACGTAGTTGAGACTGACCTGGACTCACTATGTAGCCCAGGCTGGTCTTGAACTCCCAGCGATCCTCCTGCCTCAGCCTCCCGAATGCTGGGATTACAGGCATGCACCACCACGCCCAGCTTCTTTTGGGTTTTTGAAACAGGGTTTCATTATATAGTTGAGACTGTTGAGACTGCCCTGGAACTATGTAGCCCAGGCTGGTCTTGAACTCACAGCGATCCTCCTGCCTCTGTCTCCCGAGTGCTGGGATTATAGGCGTGCGCCACCAGCGTGGCTTCTGTGCTACTATTTGTAAAGCAGAGATTTCTTTACTTCTTTGTCAAATGCTACCCTGTAAGCTATCTTTCCCTACCAAATCCCACCAAAAAGCAAGGGATTAGATAAAAGTCATCTGTGGGAGAATGCTGAGTATTTGTTCTATGATGTGCTAACAATTCTAATTTGTTAAACAGCTACTCTTTACCTTCCTTTCAGATTCAACACGTCTACCACTGGGCTGTAATTCATATGTCTAACTGCTGGGTGGCTTGATTCACTGGCGGTATATGCAGGATTGCCCTATCAGGCAGCTTTCTATTAAAAAAGACCAATAAAAGTGATCAGATTGATTTCTACACCAGCAGTACAAGCCACCACCGGACTAGCCATGCACACACTGTCAATGGTTCAAGCTCAAAGGAACATGTTAAACTGTTCCTGTTGGCAAGAGCAGACTTTGAAGAATGTAGAGAAAGGCTGGAAGCACATGGCAGGAGAATGACTTTAAAAGAGACATCAGAAGCTGGGCATGGCAATATGCACCTATAATGCCAGCACTCTAGGAGGCTGAGGCAGGGGGCTTCCCAGTATGGCAACACATGGTCTCAAGAAGAAAAAGAATTGGGGATGTATCTCAGTGTGAATGCTCTGAAGTCAATCCCCAGTACCAAGAAGAAAGGGAGGGAGGGAGGCAGAGAGAGAAAAGGAAAAGGTGGGGAGGGAGAAAAGGAGGGGTAGGGAAAGGAGAGAGAGTGAGCACCAGAGGGTTTGATTATGAAAGGGAGGGAACAAAGAATACTACAGAAGTAAGGAAATGAAAAATAAATGCAAGCTGTATCACCAGTTCTGGACATAAGAGGGCTGCATACCCAGGTTGCTGCAGAACTCTCCCACCATGCCATCAGGGTTTGCAGTGGGGATCTGGGTAAGCCCTGTCAGAATGAGAACATCGCTGTTCTTGAGAGAAGCTTGGTCCATGGGCTGAAAAACAAGAGAACTGCACTTAGCAATCTAAAAAGGAATGCAATTTACAAACAGGAAAAGAAAAGTGTGCACAGACACTGCTCTTTTATGTCTAACCCATCCTCTGGTCTTCTGCGAACGGGGCCCCAAGTGCCCCTCCCCCTGCTGCACAGCCAGTGAGTGGTGGGAGAGGAGCAGAGCTTCATCTGTATTTATAGCCACTCCCACCTGCAGGCATTATCGCCTGAGCTCTGCCCGTCAGATCCAACAGGAGCCTGCAGCTACAATGAGCTGTGCGTGCTTCAGATCTGGCCGTGCATTCCTGATGAGATCCAGTGCTGATGATCTGAGGTGGAGCTGAGGCAGTGATGCTAATGCTAGGGAGTGGCTGTGAGTACAGACGAATACTGGCAGAGAGCAGACTCTTGTCAGAACTGTATCCAGGAGTGGCAAGTAACAACGAAGCCGCAGCTGGTAGCAGGCTATCTAGTGGCAAGCGAGTAGATGTTCTCCAACTGTATAGCTGCACCTGGTGGCAGGCCATAGGTCAGAATTTAACACATTTTAGTCTGCACACGGCCTGTCCACTGTTTTATTTACTACTTCCATCTGAACCTCTTTTTCACATGGTACCCTTGGGTCATCACAATTTTGATAAGCCCACAACTGCTAGCCAACATAAGTAAAAATCAAACATCACTGGAGAACTTCTTTGCATATGTGCTGCTGAAGTGAATATGGGAGACCTTCCTTGAAAAGGTGGGAAACCCAATGTGAAAAAGAAGAGGACTCCAAAGCTACCAACAAAAATAAACTGCATTTAAAAGAAGACATCAAGAGTATTTTGGGGATGGTGGGTATCTAACGAACTTCAAAATTACTTTGTCATATAGAGACCAAGTACCTAAAAGAGAAGCCTTCGGAATTTTTCCAAAAGAAAAACAAAATGTGAACATGAAGAACTGGTACTTCAGTTTTGGTACTGGGGATTGAACTCAGGACCTTGTGCTTGCAAGGCAGGTACTGGCACCATTGAGCTAAATCCCCGGCTCCAGAAGCAATTACTGAAGGCCACCCTTCCTCAAATGCATCTGACAGCATCACTCTCAGGGACTCACTGCACTGCTAAAGCCAATAAGCCCTTTTTCTATCAGGAAATAGTTGATCCTGTCGGCCAAGGACATCTGTTGTGAGATTCTAGGTGGTGCCATAGTTTAAAAGGCGGCATGTGCTGCTCTTTCAGCTTTAGCACCACAACTGGAAGAACTGATGAAACAACTCTCAAACAGTTATTTGAGAGGATTAATGAGTCACTGTGGTACACAAGCCGGGCTGACAAGTCTACCAACAAGGCAACTGTGCTTGCTTTTGTGTGATACACTTCTCGGGAGTATGTGGATGAGGATATGCTATGTGCATTTTGTTGCCAACCAATACCATGGCTGCAGAACTAATCAAGTCCTTGAAAGATTAATGAATCGGTCAACTTGTGTTGGTTGTGTCGGTGAATGCATGGACAGAGCAGCTGCCACAACTGGGGACAAAGAGGCCACTTCTGAATATTCATCTGCACATTGTTTTACCTATGGAGAAGTGCTGCTTGGCAGAAATATGTCACTTGAACTAACATTTTGCATGATGCGATTAAACTCATTGACCCCATGAACGTGCATGCCTTTAACCGATCTGGTCACGCGGCTCTGTGAGGAGATGGTTGTGGAGCTCTCATATTGTCCTTCATCCACGGAAATGAGATGGCTTTCTAAAGGGAGCTCACTGGCCAGAGTTTCTGAATTATGAGAACTGCTCCAGAGATTTCTTTCAGAAAAACTGACAGCGCATTTCAGCGATACAGAATGGGTCACAAAACTTGCTTGCTTGTATGACATATTCAACCTGCCCAATGAACTCAATCTATCACTTTAGGGGAGAATGACAACTGTGTTCAAGTCAGCAGATAAAGTGGGAGGAAGAAGTAAATACAGGGGTTTCTCACATTTCAGCACTAGCAAAGATTCTGAGAGACTGAGCCCTCTTCCTCCCAGCTGGCGCACGGTCACCTATCTCAGCTTTTAAAAAGAGCCTGAGTATTACTTCCAACTACCATAGCCCCCTGAACCAGGAAGGGATGCATCTGCAACCCACTTATGATAAGGCGGTGAATCAACTCTGCCCGTGCTAGAAGAGGATCAACTGCTTGAGACTGCAAATGACACTGGCCTTAAAAATGTTTGAGCCAATGTCAAATCTCCACAGATTCTGGATTAAAGTCAAGGTGGCTACCCTGTGATTGCCACAAAAGCACTGAAAAGCCTGCTTCCATTTCTGACATTTTATTTTTGTGAAGCAGGGTTTTCTGCAGTGACAGCAACCAAAATGAGATCATGGAGTAGACCGGACATACACAATGCACTGTGGTGTCACGTTTATCTTAAAATGGCAAAAACTTTTACAAAGCTCTTGCTAGAAGAAAGAAGCCCATAAGGTTGAGAGGAGACCTCACAGGACCCAGGAGCCCTCTGAAGTGGTGTAGACGATTCTGTATGTGTCTACATGCATTTTTCCATAGATTTTATGAGTTGCCAGACAGGACCCAAGACCCCCAAAAAGGTTAAGAATGACTACAACATATGACAGGGAGAAAACTCTGGCCCTGACTACCTCTCACTTTAGCTTTCAGCATCTTCCTTTGAAAACTCAATGCCCACAGGCAAGCGGAGGCAGCACCCACTGAGCAGAGCAGTTACAGAAGCCCTCGTGATTGGCTGGACCAGACGCTCCTATTTGTAGCCTGTGGCTCAGAGTCAGTCTCCCGACTCCCAGGGCCAAGTACAGCAGCAGGTTTAAAAGGCTCTTAGCAACACTCTCCAAAGCCCGCTGGACTGGCAAAGGGCAAAGGCGTATGTCAGCAGTGTTGATGGACATTCACACATGCTTCAGATGAGGATATTTTGTACACACACACACACACGTATAAAAAGAAAAAAATCCATCCTGTTCATGATGCAAGGTGTAGAAACACCTTACAAAATTGACAGTCATAAACGAGCTTGTATAATAAAGTCACAAAATACCCTCGGCCCCCGACTACCCACTGTGCGGGTCCCTTTGTAATTTTTATTGCATACTTTACACAGGTCTGAGAAAAAGAAGACCCAGTCCAAAGGCTCTAGAAGATTGTTATGGTTTATATCTAGATGTCCCCAAAGCCTCATGTGCCCACAGGTGGGGCTTTGAGGAGGTGACTGGATCATGGCGGTGTGATACTCACAGTGGGCTGGTTTATAGCTAAGTGTGATGCTGGGAGTTAGTGCCTGGTGGGAGGAGGTTGGTCACTGGGGGCGTGGCCTGGCAGAGTCTGTCTCCCTCCTCCTCCCTTGATCACTCTTCGCATCCCGCTACCATGCTATGAGCTGTCTCTCTTCTGCCAGGCCCCTCTCACATGACTCCGTGCCTTGGAGCCAGCCGGCTATGGACTGAAACCCTTACAAATGTGCGACAAAATAAACTTTTCCTCTTTTAACTTCTGGGTGTCAAGTATTGTGTCCTATCGTTGGAAAAAATAATGAAGATGAAGACTATGACCTTGTTGAAGAGAAAATATTTATGTGTAATAATAAAGATTTTCCAAAAAGCTATAGAAAACATAAAGCAAAGGTTAAGAGTTTTTACCAAGCACATAAATGTCAAAAGGAATAGTAGAGACTCCACTGGCCCCCCCGATGAGGTCATTCACAGAAGGCTTTTTGGCGGATGAAGTTTTGGTTTTAGTTTCTTCTTTGGCCAATAAGTGTTTGCTCACTGCTCTTGGAACATCTCTGTGACATCCTCTTCTTCCCTCCCAACATGTCCCAGTGCCATATGCTCCCAGGCTCCACTAACTTCTGTCTCAGCATTAATCACACCAGAGGGTTAAAGGCCTAGTTCCTTGTCCTCATCTCCACAGGACTGGGAAGGTTCTGCAGGGCAAGGACTCTGTATCCCTGCTGCCTGGCAAAATACCTGGCATACAACAAAAACTACACACACGTGCTCAATAAGTAATACGATAAATATTAAATAAACATGGGCAGAATAAGTGAAGTCACAGCAGTAAGTGTGCAAGTGTGCCACACTGGCATTGAGGGACAGTAGAAGCCAGGAAGGTGAGAATAAGCAAATGCAGGAGGGGTCTGGGAGGGGCAGAGAGCACAGGGAGGCAGGGTGCGTGGGGCAGAAGAGTTCATTTGGCTTGTGGGGAGAGTCTACTGCAGGGCTGAGAAGAGAAACTAATAAAAAGAGGAAGCATGACTGACAAAGGGCTTAATAGTCAGAATCATGCAGACTGATAACCGGGCATAAGAAGTCCACAGTCTGATGCAGGGAATAGCATTTTAGTAAAAATAATTACAGAAAATTATAAAGGCTGATGGTGACAGCAAATAAGGAAGAATGTTTAATTTTTGGCAGTACTGGGAACCAAATAAATCTAGTTGAGCTATATCCCCTGCCATATATATAGATAGATATCTATCTATCTGTCTCTATATATATCTATATATACATATATATCAACTTTTGAGGTAGGGTCTAGCTAAATTGCTCAGGCTGGATTTGAACTTGTAATACTTCTGCCCCAGCCTCCCAGAGGGCTGGTATTACAGGCATGCACCACTATGCCTGGTGAAAGAGTATTTTTAAGGCCACTACAGCAGCTCAAACACAGAGGGAAAACACTGTAATTTCATGGCAGTTAAGGAGACAGAAGAGGCAGATCTACACACTACTACTTCAGAGGACCTCAAAACCTGAAGTTAGTGCTGTAGTCGAAGGGAAACGTGGAAGATGCATAACTGAAAAGATCTCACAGGAGGCTACGTCACATATCGCACTGGCAAGGCACAAGATTCTGGGGGCAGCTAAATGGACTTATTTTGAGAGTGAGGCTGAAGCCATGGAGTAGGCGGTGCATGGAGACCGGCTGGGCATGTCCATCCAAATGCACATGTTTCCTCACAGTGAGAACAGTGGCAGGCCTAGGGCTGAGGCTGAAGGGTTGTCCCAAGCTAAGTGGGAAGAGGGACAGAGAGGAAAGAGCTTTCTTCTCTGCAAATGTAGATGATGGAAAAGATAACTTTATGCTACTTTCACCCAATAATACAGCAAAAGATCAAATAGAGTAATAAGAGGAAAACACTAACAACCACAACAATGCTCAGAAGCCTAGACCATAAAGAATCTCCACAAGAAATTGGTCTCATGCAGTTGTGAGATACTGTGAAAAAGAGAAAAGTGAAAGTCTGGCCAGAAGCCAGTCACTCAGAGCCAGAGATGGCGATTTCACTCAGAGTGGGAAACCGGATCTAGGAGGTCAAACAGGAAACAGGCAGGGCGTCCGGGACAAGCTGAACAAGGCACAAGGGGGAAACTGCACCACGATTAGGAGACAGAAAACAGCTGTCTGGCAATGAGGCAGTTATCTTAAGGCCTTTTCCCAAAATAGAAACACAGGCTTTATGTAAAAGCAGAGAAGTATTAACAGAAAATGTTAAAGACCTGTAATTCTTCCATAAGAGAAAGGAAGAAATACATTTGGGATCATGAAGCATAACATCACACTCTGCCTTCAAGATAGATTAATTTATTATTATTATTATTATTATTTTGCATTCTGAGACGGAGTCTCAGTCTAATTCAAGCTGGCACTGAACTCACTATATAGCCCAGACTGAAGTCGGAGCAATCCTCCTGCCTGTCTCCGGGGTGCTGGGATTACAGGTAAGCATCCTGGTGCCCAGCTTCAAGATCATTTGAAATCCCACTCCTCCAAGGGTTCTCCAATTCCCTCGCCAGGAGGGATATACGCTCCTCAATCTGGTGGTTTTCTAGCCCTACAGGATTCTTTACTCGCACCGTGGAGAAACGTTTGGCATGCGTCCATCTTCCCCTGTTGTAACTTCTGTAAATCTACCTACCCTGCCCTGTTTCAAGCTTTACAGCTTAGCACACTCCACTGCCCAGAGGAGGAATTTAAGAAACAGCATTGACTAAATGAAATGAATAAGTAGACAAATACCTGCATGCACGTAACTTCTGAGATAAGGAAATACTCCGCAGAGGGACAGTGTACAGGCAGATGAGACAAACAAGACCTCAAGTGTGGAAAGACAGCAGAGCCCAGCCAGCTGCCCAGCCCCGGCCACGGCACCCAGGGGACTGAGCCTCTCTCTCTAGTACTGCACGGATGCTGTGCAGCGCAGCTTCTCTGCTGTCCTTGCCCCAATACACAGGGTTAATTTTCACCGTGGAGCTCCAGGGTCAGAGCAAAGTGCTGCACGAACAACAAAACACACGGAGAAATTCAGGGGGAAGAAAAGTTTGTAAACTATGAAACAACAAAATCAGCCTATCTAAAGATCACCTTATTCTAAAAATCCAATTCAAAGGATCCAAATTTAAGATATTTTCTTTAGATTTAAGGGAAGGATCCACATTTCTTACTGCTATGGTCTTCAAGACCTCAGGAGCATCCCTGAATTCCAATATTCAAAGGAAATGGAGCCAGCATACAGAAGAGATGCCTGCACGCCCGCTTTACCGCGGAACTAGTCACAAAAGCCAGGCGCAGAATCAGCCCAGTGCCCAGCAATGGATGAATGGATGAAGAAAACAGGGGGTTTATATACACAACAGGATTCTTTCCAGCCCTACAGAAAACGGAATTTCGTCATTTGCAGCAGAATGTATAGAACTGGAAGAAATCATGGTAAGTGAGATAAGCCACATGACAGAAAAACAAGTGTCACACTTTCTCTTTCATACATGCAACCCCCAAATTAAAAGTCCTCCTGCAGGTAGAATAATGACAACTAGGGACTGGGAAGAGTAGCTGGATATGATCAATGCACATTGTAAGCATATAGGGAGATATCATGCTGAATCTTGTTTATGTGTTAATTACATGTAAATAAATACAATGAAAATTTCTTTCTAACCAAATCTAACCAAATTGGATGACTATATGGACTGGAAATAAAAAAACTGTAAAGTACCCTTTGATCATTTAAATAATGAACATCATGATCTACTTAGAGCAGTTTTTTTTTTGGCACCGGGGATCAAACTCGGGTCCTTGCGCTTGCAAGGCAGGCCACCGACCCGCTGAGCTAAATCCCCGGCCATGATCTACTTAGAAATGAATGACAAAGTACTACGTATCAAATATTTAACAGAGTTAAAGGACGGTAAGAAAGAATCCAGGCTTACTCAAAGATCACAACAGATCATGCTATTCCTAGTAAGGGTCCTATTCAAGGGGCCAAGGGTTAGCAACTTTTTCTGTAAGGTGTAACTTTAAAGTAGAGCTCTACCATTACAGTATGTATGGAACTCTACAAACAAGTGGGTGTGGCTGTAGTCCAACAGAAGATTACTTATAAAAACAGGTGGAGGGTTCAGCAGAGTCCCCAGGCCACAGAATGCTGGCCTCTATAGTAGACTACCAAATTTTCCAAGCCAAAACTTTTCTTACCCCCTCTCATTCAATATAGAATCCAACAATATGGGTAAAGAAAAATCTAGTTTTCTCTTTTTTACATTACATAGATTGCCAGCCAGAATTAAAATTAATTATGTAGGTATATTGCTCATTACTTTCAAGACCTTACTTTTCCTTTGAATTTATGGACTTTGTAAGACAAATTTACTGGAAATTGCATCAATAGTTCTGTAAAGGCTTTGATAGGAGAGGACAAATTGGAAGAGTTGGCAGCCAAGTCATCTTTCTGTCTTTTATAGAAGATTATGTCGAGAATGATAGCCAATAAAAAATCTGATTCAGTGAGACAGATTATGATGACATTGACAGGCTTCTGATTTCAATAAGCAAAAAGGGCCCAGGATTTTGCTAGCTACAGGAAAAAAGAGCAATGTGTCCCCTCTAGATCTTGTGATAAAACTTGGTTATAAACGAAGGTATGAAGAAACAAATACACAAAGGAGCTCAGAGGCCCTCTATTGTCCTACACCAGAACACAGCATTCTTTTCCCCCTATTAAAGTAGAATATATTAGTTAGCTTGATCTAGCCCTTCTACAACATAAACCTAAACCAAAATACCATGTTGTATACCATAAATATATACCTTTTTGTCAGTTAAAGTTTCTTTCTTTCTGAACCAAGGACACCCCCTCAAAAACAGTGAATGTTTCCAAAACTTCAGAGAGATGGTACAGGCTGCCTGTAAGAAGCACGACAAGCACCAACTATAAAGAGATACGACAGGTCCAGGGAGAAGGGTCTTCTGTGAGCCCAGGGAAAGCAGATTTAAGACAAGAAGGAGGGTGGCTACGTTCGGCAGACTAACTCTCTTCTGGACAAAGGCTGAAACTGCACAGAAGATGGAGCTCAAGTTGGGTACACTGTGAGCCCACCTGCAGGTCTAAGAGAGCGCTTCCTGTTGAGGGGTGCAAACATTCTGAACTGGAAAAGATCAGAAAAGAAAGGGCCATGGGATCCAGTTCTAAGCTTCATCTTGTGCTTTACTACGGAGACAATAATATCTTGCGGTTATGGTCACAAATTAACAAATTTTACAAATAAAATGGGATATGAGGTCCCAGAAGTTACCTATATATCTACCCATCAATTAGCTATCTAATCTCTCCCACTGCCTTACAGACATGGAAAGAATGAAGGTTTATAAAATAAACAATCCCAATACTTTACAAATATCCCTGAAGAACTAAATACTATATTCACAATAACATTCACGCACTCAGCTTCTTGCCAAGTATAGCTCTAAGGAATGACTACCACTGGTTTCCTTCTACATATTAAAACACAAGTTGGGGGCCGGGGATTTAGCTCAGTGGTTCTGCCGCCTGCCTTGCAAGTGCAAGGACCCGAGTTCAATCTCTGGTACCAAAACAAACAAACAAACCAACCAACCACAACCTGAATTCCTCCTGGTGGCCCAGCGTCAGACCTGACCTGGCCTCTCCTTCTCTCTTGGGCTACTCTTCACCACTCACAGGGTCCCGTGATCACAGTGGCCGCCATCCCGCCCTGTCTCACATACGCCCAGCTTGTGCAGCGCTGGGGCTCCTCTCCTGCCCTCTCCGGTACTGCTGTGCCCTCAGCCTCACATGGCTCACTCCTCAGGGCTCGGTTCAGATGACGGCTCCGGAGGCTCCCCCAACCATGTGCTCTCTACTGGGCTGTCACTCTAGAAACGCCCCTGCTCTACTGTTCTCAGAGCTCGTACCACATCAGAAATGATCCCGCTCATTCATTCATTCACTCACGTCCTGGTCACCATTGTCTCCCCGTATGTCAACTGAACACAAGAAGACTTTACCCGGTCCCTGGTCCCACTTAGTCCCTCTCACTTAAATAAATGCCTGGCACTTGGTAAGAGGTCAATAGTTCATGTGTGCTGAGTAAATGAACAACCTTCTGTGCCCCACATCAGGCTATAGTCCTGAGTGGGATTGGAGGAACTCAGAATCTTAGAGGTGACCATCTTTACGCATCCTTTGATGCAGAATTCTTTCAGAGAACAGTGCAATCCTGAGACATGAATAGGTTAATTTTCCTACAGTAGGTGAAGAAACTAAAATTAGGAGGATTTAAAAATGGCCAATAGTACACTAACAGTAGATTTAAAAATGGCCAATCCATTCTGACACTGGATTAAATAACCATAAAGCTGAGTCGTTAAAAGGGAATTTATCATTACCTGAGGGTGGGTAGTAAGCAAGGAAGATCCAGAGACATAAGAAACTTTCTCATAATGGGACTGGATAATCCAGTTGGAGCTTCCAAGGGCATAGCCAGAGCTGAGAGGAGTCACCTGGACCACACCAAAAAGCTCCTAAAAAGAGACACACAGAGAACACGTGAGCTTTCACAATGCAATCAGAGCAGGGAAGTCTGCAGGAAAAGCAAAGGAAATAACCTTAGTTCAGAAACAATTACTTTAAAGTAAACCAGGAAATCTAGACCGAAACAGACTATGGAGACCATGTGACGGACACAGAAAACAATCCTGCAGGCTTCACTATCTTCTCAAGGCTTCAGCTCATCTGCTGTCACCACGCACTCAATACTCAACTCACCAAAAGGCAGAGTGACATTGCCAAACAGAACAAAGACTCAGAAACTGTGGTTTTCCTTTTTTATTTTAAGTTAGGAATTCTATACTCAATAGCTGTGGGCATAGGTTAAGAAAAGAAACAGGAAGCCTGACCACTTAGGTCAGAGCTCAATGGTCATTCTTGACAAAAGCCTCTGTTTCCTATTCCTCTCGTCCCAGCACAGTACAGTGTCGCCTGCTGTGCCGACGTGACAGGATGAGACAGATGCCTTCTCCTGCATCCTTACCCACTGGCCACCAGAATGCCTACTGATGACAGGGACTGTGAGGGCTAGGAATGGGCACCAACGGCAACCTGGGAGGATTGGAGGAAAATGACACGCTTCTTTCCTTGCATAAGATTCTCAGGCAGAATGGCTTAAAGGAGGGAACTACAGCATCCTCCAAAGTACAACAGTATGAACCAAAAGCACTCATGAATCCCGTACAAAGGTGTATTAACACTCACGATTTTCTGAGAATATCCCACCAGCTGGATTTTACTAAGGGCAGAGTTCACCTCCTGCATGGAATAGCATCTCCTCCAGGTTGACACTTCCACTGCATCCTTAAGAGGAGAAGGCAGCAGCCTGCAAATGGACCACAGTGTCAGTTCCTCGGCGGACACTTCTTCACGGAGGACAGCTCTCCTTCCTGGTGATGTGTCCACTTTATCTCAGCTGGCCAAGATTTTGGCATGTGATTATTCACAGAATTTTTAATAATTATTTTTAATTCTGTAGAGCTGAACTATGATCTTCTCATTTGATTCTAGTTATTTTAGTTTCTTTTTTCCTTGGTTAAGCTCACTCAAGGTTTGTTCACTTCAGTTTTTTAAACTACCTTTGATTTCATTGATTTTTCTTTTTTCTTTTTTCTTTTTATTTTTCCTTCCTTTTTTTTTAAATTTTTTTTTCTTTTTATTGAGGTTATTGGTACAATCTAGGTATACAATACAATTACATTCATCATTGGGATTCTGTACCTTTACATAATAGGTCTTGATTCTCATTTTTCCCCTTGTCCCTGCCCTCCCTTCACCCCCTCCTCCCCTCCCCATTTACAAACACTTTATTTCCATTTTTTCAGTTTCTCATATTTTTTTC